GTGCTTTTCTAGTCTGATTTGTTCTCAGTTTGGGATTTTTAAATTATACGAGTAACCACTTTTATTGTCACAAAACTCAAGACCAACAACCATTAAGAATTGTATCTCCAGGTTTATAAAATCTAATAGTATACACATTCCAAAATCGAAGTCAAATATATACTAATATAGATATCCACTAATGTTACTCCAATTTTTAACGGTTTCATTGATGTCTGCAAACCAGCTGACTATTCCCTATTGGTTGGTTTTAGTATGGACCTACTGGAGATGAACACAGCTTGGTGATTAATACTTACCATGGTACTCTGCCTATTCTTCATTTTATTTTTTTCAGATCAGAGTATAGATGCATGCCAGAGTAAGGCCAGTTGACAGGGGTTTTATAACACCACATCAGAGAGCACACTACATTCAGAAACCAGCTGAGGACTTTGGTGGGTAACTTGCCAGCAAGAATTGTTTTATAGAACAATAATTCAGTACTGCATAGCATTCGTGGATCAGTGATTTATGGTCATGAAATCATTTTTTTGGGGTGAACTACTTTATGACAGTGATGGCTTTTTATGCTGATCGAATGACTGATCCATTTTTTTACATTTAAAGTAGAGGCCAACTCATAGTTTTTTGAGAAAGTTTGTCATAAAATGCATGACAATGTTCATTATGTGAAATTATGGACCTATTGTCCCATGGCACCATAAAATAGCATTTTTTTTATGTGTCAGTGACATATTTTAAGAAACTTGTCCTAATATTTTCCAAAAATTGCTACTATTAGAACAATTCAATAGAACACAATGTTAAGAAAAATTACATTTTTGACTTTTTAAAACCCAGATTGTTTAAACCATCATTTTCTAGAAAATTAGACTGGTGACCCCCCCCCAACATTTTTTAAGTTAACATCCTTATACTGCTAGAGAGTACAATTTATTGCAATATGTATAAACTCTGTATATTTGCATTTCTAAGAGGGCTTCTACCTTAATTTTAATAAACACATTTGCAACTGTTAATGGCTTTTTATGCTTTTCTAAGACGCCTTTAAAGTTCCAAGATTTTTAGTAATTTTCCGGACTGTACAAATGCAGGTATATCATACCCTGAATACAGTTACAATTTTCAGTCTTAACAACTCTGTATTTAGTGATGAATTCACGTGAAGAGCACACAGAAATGTTTATTTCATTCTAATGATTGCATGATACAAACCCATCCAATGTTTCAAGCCTCCTACAAACAATTCACACGTCTGGATTTAAATGTACATGACTATATGCAGTGAGAAGGAATCATTGTTTTCCTTTCTTCATTCATTGGTTACTAATTTGTGAATTCACTTGATTTGTTGAATATTTAAATAAAGATGTAAAAAACAATGAGTGACGATGATGATGAATAAAGATGATGATGATGAATGTTCAAATTAATACAATTTCACTATTTATACGTTTCTCAAAATAATGCACACAAAAGGAAGCAATGATTTGAATAAAAGCAAAAAAAAGATGAAATATACAATAATTTTATAAAATTTTATTGAGCAGTAGAGTAATGAATTATATATTTTAGGGTATCTGCATGTTAAAGCCATTATGAATCACATTTCCATGGCATTCTGCTCACTTAATTGTATCAGCACTGAAAAGTTAATAAATACTAAATAGTGTGATTTATGACTTTGTCACTGATTCTTGTCCTTCAAATAAAGGGTAACTTTTAAGGATTTCCGTCCATACACGTTGACCAGTAGATAAATCACTCACGATGCCTGGTAATTCACTCAACTGAAATATATAAATCATGATGTGTGGTCAAGATAAATGTCACATTTTATTCTCATTTGTGATTTGAGTTATATATCACAGCTTTCTCCTAGCAGTGTAGTGTAATTATAATGTAATTAGCCAGTTTTACATCACACGTGTCTAGCATAGTGTAATTAACCCAGCTAACATGCCTGCAAATTACAGAATAGGAATCAAAAATAATATCAGTGCAAACATGCAGATGCAATCCACTAGTACAGACCCAAAGCAGAGTACCAGAGTGAAGAGTCCTTTGTTACAATTCATGTGATTACATAAAACCAATACAGACATAGCAAAAAAATGTTTCTTGCGACTCACCGGAGCTCGTATCTGTTGCATTGAATCTCGTTCTCTCAGTGTTGCTGTATAAGGTTCCTGCAAACTATCAAAGTCCACAGTGATACCGAATGGTATCGCTATTTCATCAGTTCGTGCATAACGGCGTCCTATTGAACCAGAACTATCATCTACTTTATGAGATATTCCTAACTTGGATAGATTAGATGCTACAAATACAAGATATGTATTGTTAGGAAAATAAAACATATTACAGTAAGGCAGTTCATATTATGTGATAACACGTAGATTGGCAACATATAAACAGATTAATTACTCACCTAACTGTTTAACTAATGGTTTGAATTGGTCATTGTTGCTGAGTGGTAGAACAGAACATTTCACCGGTGAAATCACTGCTGGCAATGTGAAGTACTAAAAAAAGGAATACAAACAGTGAAACAATCATTTGTATCATCACTTAATATTTATTTAAAATACAGTACAGTAGATTGAGTTGGGATGAAATACACAGAGAGCCAAATATTAACACAGCAGGAAGCCAGTACAACAAAACAACATGATATTTTGTATTTAGTAAAGATGCTCATTATCAGAACATCAATTCTTCTTTAGTGTTAATTCTGTTTCTACAACATACTACAATCTCAGACATTCCTCAAAACTCATTTATGCACATGGTAGTGCAACACATGGTACAGTCATCAATTATACAAAACATCAAAATGCACTTTCATGACATGTCACCCCTCTAGTGCTGATGCAAGGTGTAGAGTAGAGCAACAATGTCACTTTAAACAATTAGTGTGTTTACTTGGTTTACTGATAATATAGTCATGGTCACGTACACATTCAGACAATGAGGGTATAGAAAGAAAACATTTACTGTTGGTATATCTGGTCTCAAAATCAAATATAAAATGCATACTTACGCCTCTCTGGTCATCACCTTCTCGACATGCAAAGTTATGTTCCAATATAGAATACATAATACGTCCAATACCAAAAGATGGCTCAATGACAGAGGGGGTGATTTCTTCAACTGTAATAAAATACGATATCATCACAATTTTATGAAACATAAAAGAGTAAAACAGTATGGGTAGATGTAGTACTTCACAAGAGAAACTGTATGATAACAAATATTTTAATTTAGGACTTTGGACTGATGATAGAATAATGACATGAATGGTTGCAGAAAATAGCAATGGACAATCAGTCATGTGGGAAATAAACTGCTTACCGTGTACTTTTTTCTGACATCTATTGATGTTCACCATGTTGGGTTTAATTGTGTAAGATTTACCGTCTATTTTATACATCATTTCCCTAAAACAGTACAGACATAGTGAGAATTAAGGCATTACAAACATTAACACTACATTATGAAATCTAACAATTTATATCATTAGCTTATTGCTGAAATGCAATACACAGACAACAATGTTAACTTTTACCCTTTCTCTTTAAGCGCTGATTCCAATTCTTCAACATCACATTCATTGAAAGACAAGAGAAACTCCATGATTGCTTTGGCTTCTCTCTTGAATTCTTTTCCAATTATACTTTTCTGTGGTTGCACTTCAACAACATTAATTGTCTTGTGTGAATTGTTAAGGAATTTAGAAATGACAAGTAATTGCATGACATAGTCCCTGTGAGTTCAAGTTCAAAAATAAAATTTCAACATGAACAGTGTAGCATGTCATAAATATGACTCGAGATCTGCATTCACCTAAACAAAATGTCCACCAGTCGGCCATTTTGAGTCTGATCTGACAAACAAAGGAACATACATTCAAGTCCCATAAGTTTAATGAACATAGCAAGATTGAACCGAATATGTCCATGCACAACCAAGATTTAGATCAGGAATAGCAAAACATCAAAAAAACTACAATTGCACCATTTATAATTGGATCAAAAAATTGACAAATCATTGAAAATGAAACAGTCCCCGTTAAATTTTTGAAAGGTCTCTTTGTGCTCGTCATATTAAAGCGAACGGGTTGTCGTGAGCGTGTCCTTGAAACCTTGAGTCCCAAGTGGCTTATACAACAGATTATTTATTCACATCAAATTCGAAAACGTGTTGCGTGATGACCCCTCTGGTTTAAGACAGCAAAGAAAAACAAATCAAAAGTGAAAGCATGTCCAAGTTATCACATTTTAAACAAATAAGATGGCCGCCAGTTGGCCATATTTGATCAAATTGCAAATTGAATTGACATGTACACGTATCCATTTATGACATGCTAAATAAATATCAATGGGTGACAGAGATATAATAGTAATATGGTCAAAAATAAAAACAGGCGTTATTCAGCCATCTTTGATCTGATTATGAAACATTATGACATGTATGATGTATGTGCTAAATAGGAATGAAAATGGTACATAAATCTTGGAAATATAGTACTAAGGCCAAAAAGTCAGATCCGATTTTGAAACAAATTGTTCTGGACATGTATCCTAACATGTATAAAGTATGTGCCAAATTTGAATGAAAACTGACAAAGCATGTCCAAGATACCACACATAAAAAACAAAACAAGATGCCTGCAAGTTGGCCATCTTTGATCCAATTGAGAAAGAAATTGTCATAGACATGTATTATTATTATAATATGTATTATATGTGTTATATATTATAACATGTATAATCTATGTACCAAATTTGAATGAAAACTGATAAAGCATGTCCAAAAAACAACATTTTCAAAAAACAAGATGGCTGCCAGTCGGCCATTTTGAATTGAATCGCTAAACCACTGCATGTGCATATGTCCCATATAAAGTACTAGGCACATGCAAAGAATGAACGGAATCGGTCCAAAAGATTCTGAGGTATGACTCCAGACGGACGGACAGACGGAGACCGAATTATAAGTCCCAGTTTTCAAACTTCGTACAAACGGGGACTAATAAGTATGCATATGCAACATAATGTACCGATACAATATATATAAACTTTGAACATTTCCATCAAGGCATATTGAAGAATATTTAGCTCCGGAACAGCATTCTCTAAAGCAAAATGCCCACCAGTTTGCCATTTTAAATCTGATTTAAAGAAACAAACTGATATGCATCAGAATCCATATTGTCCAATTTATGACTGATTCAGTTTCAGAATGGCAGAATGCTCAATTTTGATGTATTTTTAACATTAAAATGGCTGCCATTTAGCTATCTTTAATCAGATTGTGAAACTAATAGACATGTACATGCATCTCAAGATGCATGATGTATGTATGAATTTTGAATGAAATCGGGCAAAGCATGTTCAAATACAGTTGGAGAGGCATGCACCTTGTTTTCGGACTTTGTCAAAATGCAGCTTAGGTTCACAGATGTTGTTTTAACATAGTACAACATTAGTTGAACACTGGAAGAAACATAACGCATTAAGAAAAGAAATGGACAACAATCATGAACATGCCATGCATGGCACAGTCCCCGTTAGTTATCAAATTTAAGAAATATAGTTTTGTTTATAGTAATATAACTGGAATATAACCATGTCAGGAATATGATTTTTTAACATTAAAATGATTGACATTTATATCTGATCGTCAAACAAGTACTTGTCCATATTGAGAGATATTGCTCTGAAACAGCATTCAAAATCAGCCATTTTGAATACATGTATATATATATATTTATATATATATAACATGATGTATGACGAATATATAAAATTTGAATATAATCAGTCAAAACATTTAAAAGATATGGCTCTAGAAGCCCAATCATTAAAACAAAATGGCCGCCAGTCAGCCATTTTGAAGCCAATCTGAAAAATAAAATGACATGCATCAGGAACCTGTAATGTCTAATGTATGTTATAAGTTTGAACAAAATCCATCCATAAATGCCAGAAATGCTTGATATTTGATGATTTTTTTAGCACAAAAATAGCCACCATTTGCTCACTTTGAAAAGGATCGTCAAACCAATATATCTGTATATCTATGACATGATGTATAATGAATATTAAAAATTTGAACATAATCAGTCACGGACACACTGAGGTCAAAACATAAGTCCCCGTTTTCTAAATATTCAAGCTACCCATTCACGGACATGACATGAACACTGGTCATCATCATTTCAAGCAACAAACCCCTCTACAACTTGGCTGGCTGGCTACCCCAACTCAAATTAAATTCAAAACTTGAGGTCACATACTAAATGCTATCACTTCAACTCACCTCACCTCGTCTTGCTTGGCCTGAACAAGGTTAACAATCATTAATGTTTCAAAATTTTGGATTTTATAAATAAAACATGACAAAGGATATTGGTTCTGGTAATTTCTTCTCTGCAACTAACGGTACTTTAGTAGCCTTTGTATGCTGTTTTAAATCATAACAAGATCTATCTGCACATCCAACACATTCTACCCAACCCTAGTATACAGAACAAATCACATTATTATAAAACACAATAAAATATCTTACTTTTGTATTTGTAGTAAACAAAAGAAAGTGTTCGCATGTGACGTAAACATGACGCACAATTTCCAAATAAGGAAGACATTGAAAGATTTTTGAACACATCGATACATCGCTTTACGGACAAGTATATTCTAGTGTGTTTAGTTTCAGATGTATAAAAAAAGCAGAATATTGAATTACCTTTGTTTCAATTAGACACTTTACAGAAAACAAAATCAACAAGTTTTATTTACTTTCTGATAAAATGTGTGAAATTTGAGAAAAAAAACATGAGTGTATCTTGGTTGTACTTACGTAAGACGTTTTACATTCTGCATCCCAACAATCACAAGCATAATGAGCCATTTCATTATCAAGATGCTGTCGAAATCGGAACTTGTCAGATTTAACACCAATTTTCATGAGGAATAGATAGATACGTGCCATGAAGTATCCTAATACATTGTTAGCAATTATTCCCTGAAAAACAAAATTATTAATTATTAATATTTAAAATAAAATAAAAAATATACTTTCGGTATGTGGTTGCACACAGTTTCCTTGACATGGTAGCATTCAGTGCTGTGTACTGGCAATGTAACCCATTGCTGAATGTTTCAATTTTATTGTTTGCACATGATGGGAAAGACAGATTCCATAGTGTTCAAAAACAATCCTTTGAAAGTCTTTGGAGTTTTTGAGGTCTGGAAAGTCTGAGTTGTCTTTAAACTACAGGAAAAATAAAATCTTATAATTTCTTCATAGTTATTAATTCATTTTAGAAAGGCCCATTTTCTCCAGGGAACTACCATATCCTCAGAACTCTGATGACCTTTTGGTGATGATGTTGGCCTGAATTAAGGGTCAAAATGTCTTGGGGGAAAAATGCAAGAAAGTTGGGCAAAGGTCTGGCAAAATCTTGGAAATCATTTGGCTCTTGGCTTGCTTAATTTTTGACTTTGTCAGGAACGTCATCTGCAACCACACAAATATGCTGTCAATGACTGCCATGGTTTGACAGTGGATAGTGCCTGTAGTGTATTTTAATTTTAACGTCTTGATGGAGGTATATTTTGTAGTCATAGCTATGAGTGTGAGGATTGCATACAACAACCACATATACAAGTAGATGACCGATATAATGCAGGCGCATACAGGTAAGCTAAATACACAAATTAAATTAATCACAGTCACCATATTTGTTCTATGAGAAGTGCATACATTACATTATAGGTGTTTTCTATGAGCAAAGTCTCTCAGATATTATTGATTCAGATATGACAATGACAGAACCAGTTGGCCATCTTTAATTGCAGGATTGCACATGTGTAATTGATAGTCTCACATTGTCAGTTTCAATCAAGCTGGTCAATAGAATACAATGAGTTATCGTACTGGTGAAAACACCACACACCTAGGTAAGAATAGAATCTAATCAAGATAGCCCGTCTGTATTGATTACATAACAAGAAGTGGAAGAAGAGATATTATGTATGAATTCCTTCACCTTTTCTACAGCATCACCTATTTTCCATACTTGTGGTGACTCTCCATTCAGTTGAACTTTGGCAGGATACAACGTGACATTTAGATCGGCCACATCTTCAAATTTAGGATGGTCTTTATGGTTTGGATCAACAAAATGTTCAATTTCAGCCATCGTAAACTCTCTGTAATAACAAGTCATAACATAATCCCAGTATGTGTTATTTGTGATTTGTATGCTGGTAAGTAGCTACCTTAACCATGCATTGTGATATGTTATGACTTACCTGACTCGTATAAGACCTGATCTAGGTGAGATTTCATTACGAAATGCATTACCAATCTGTGCGGCAGCGAATGGCAACCTTCCTTGATTGAACTCCAATAAACGCTTAAAATTCACAAAAATTCCTTGCGCAGTTTCTGGCCTTAAAAATCTACAAATAAAAGTAATATATCCACAATCACTACTTGTATATCAGTATAAAACATCATATGTTTAGCCAAGAAAGTAACTAATACAACCTTGCTTATTGTAAATCTAGCTATTAATTAAGCATAATGATTGAGGAGGGATATAATATAGACTGGTTGGTTGATGCACATGTACATGTATGAGGATATAGGTTATATATGCTGTATTAGAGATAAACAAATACAAATATTTGGGTAATATCAACCAAAAATCTATGAATAAATAGTAATAAACAAGGTGACAATTGCTATGTTCACACGGCAGCATTCTATCGGAGCCGAACTACTGCTCCTCCCACAGATTAACAGGAGATTATCTACAATGCGTTCATACGGTTGGGAACCGAACGAGAGCCGAGATCTGCCAGAGTTAGATTCAGTTCGATCAGAGCCGAGCGGAACAGTGCCCTTGAATAATTAGTGACTGAAAACGATTTTAGTGTCATGCTTGTGTTTTTTCTTTACATGGCATGATGCTGTTGAGCTAGGAGAAAAAGGAGCCTGACCATGGAGGTAGAAAAGACAATGACTGGTATTTTAAATTTGGTACTAGTATCTCGAATAAACAGGAAACACGGCAGCTAAAATACGTTTAATACAGCCTATTCGCTCAAGTTATTGTCATGCAAAATTACCATTTTGTAACTATTCAACTGTAGTGATATCTAAACTACGAGGAAGAATCACAGATTCTCTCTATCTATCATAGAGGGACTATGGAAGAATCTAAACCTGCCAGGAACACGTCACCATACCGCGATAGCTTCTACGATTTTTATCTTTTATATAATAGTGTCTTTAAAAAGTTTCCGTTCAGTCGTTCTTTCAAGTTTTTGTTGCATAATTTCGTACGCCATTTTTTGTTTCCCATTGAGCAATCAATCTATTGCAATGATGAGCAATCAATCTATTGCAATGATTCATTACAATACACTAGGACGGGTACCTCTAATTCAAGCGGGAAATTGCGTGAAATTATGAAAGATGTTGTCTCCGCCATAATTGAAATGAGAGGTTACTCGAAGAAGACGATTGAGGGCGTGATTTCGGCTCCGATAGTTGGGCCCCGATGCGTTTACACGATCGGAGCCATGTCGGGACTCAACCCTATCGGAGTTCAACCCGAGCGTTTAGTGGAGCCGAACTTGGCTCGAGCCGAACGCGTTCACACGGCCATTTTTGCTGGCTCGAGTTGGGCTCCGATAAAATGCTGTCGTGTGAACGTAGCAAATGACTTCAGCAAACTTGAAATTTAGTGAGGAAAAGTAATGGCTTAAAAAACGAAATGTCAAATAAATGAAACTATGAACCGTTGTATTCTCACATTCTCTCATAGAATATGACATGAACACTTGAGAACAATACTGACTACAGTAGATATTGGGGCACATACAGGTTAACCCTTTTCAGGTCAGGGGAGTTTCAGGCTATCAGGTTAAGTCGTTGAAAAACTGTCATGATTCAATGCACTCCAGTAGCCAGCATCTGTGCATGCTATCCTGCCAGACATTTTTGCAAAAATAGGCCATAGTTAACAGACTGTATCAACCACAGTTTCCACATTTTTTGCAATCTGTTCGCATACACACTTCATTACCACTATGGACAACAATTTCTCGTATAAAAAAAATCACAGTTTTATTTCAATACACATTTTTTACTGTTGTTAAGTAACGATGTTTTGCCCTTTGTACAGTCTCAATAAACACATGTTAAACATTGAAATAAATATTGCTTAATTGAAAACACATTACAAGCAAGTCACTACATGAATGCAAGTTCGAAGTAAGAAGAAAAAAAACGCGCGAGTATGGGGATATTTGGGACATGTACAGGGGAAAACGTGTTTGACATACTCGACCTGTCAGCGTACATTTCAAATTGCAACATATATTCAACAACTTGAACTACATGTGTATCATATTACAACGTACTTTCCGTGACTTGACTGATGTTATATTCAAGCTCTAACGTATATTAACCGACTTGACCGTACTAGTAATCCCACACTTACAACGTATATTTAACGACTCAAACTGAGACTAAAACGAACGAGAACATAACAGCAACGACTTGATCGGGGTTACCTTCACACTGCAACGTATATTTCAACGTATATTTAACGACTTGAAATAAAACAAACTAGCGAGAACGTAACTGCAGGGACTTGGCGTGTATATATACTCACGCAGAAACGTATTTCCACCGACTAGACCCGATGAACTATCCTGACATTAAAACGTATAAATACCGAGTGAGCATGAAACTAAATTAACGATAATGTATTTTCACCAACTCAAACTATTGTACAGTTTGTAACGTTGTAATAAGTCCCAAATTTATTTGTTGTATGCCTTTCTTAGTCGTCCACCCCGGCGGGCTGCTCCCATGCGTCTGCCTGATGTCGAGGGCTGCTCTTCCAGTGTCCAGC